ACTCTTTCCAACAAGTGGGAGGAAAATCCTAATGCACTGCTCCTCTTTCTCTGAATTCAAGCTTGTGGTCTGCTTCTCCTTTCACTTTGAATTTACTTCCTTGTAAAAGTATAGCTGGCAAAGAAGTTAACCTCAGTAGGCAAAGGGGAGTAGGCTCTTCAGTTGCTGCTCTGTTTAGCAAGTCTGATCTCCACCAGGCACTAAGGCAAGGAAAATATATTAGACCAAAACCGGTCCCTTTCTGTACAGTCCCTTTTCCCACCTGCCTGCCCGCCCAGGAAATGAACAATCCTGATGTACTGGAAAACGCCATGGATACAGATGGGTGTTTTTTCTGCTATTTTGAGTTTATAGAAAATGGATAAAATGCCTCACAGTGTCATGCTAAGGATCTTCAAGCAGCACCTGTACTCGTGATCCACCGTGAGTGTGTAGGAGGTGATGCTGTGCTTGCAAGCAGGCTATTTTGCTTGCACAGGGCTGCTCTGAGAGATGCGGCTCTTTTCAAGGAAGATTTTGATTCTGGGGTTTGGTTTTTTCTGCAGTAAGTTAGTTAGCCACTTCCTGTATTTGGCTGTTCATGGTGTTTTCTCAATTTTAATACTGCACTCAGCAGCCAGTGACAGAGACTATTTTAAGGCCTCTTACAATGGTCTTCTCATTTACTTAGCTAAAATGAGAAAGTTAGCCCTGCATTGGCCACTTGTTAGCTGATGACAACTTTTACTTTGAATCTGGCTCCCCCTCCCCCACCTGAAATCCCTGGCTCAGCAAATATTTGAACCTGCCCAAGTTAATCATGAAACTGAGATCTTTATCTGAGAGACGTGCAAGCTACTGAGGGTGGTGGTTTCTTTTTTTTTTCCCTTTTTTTTTTTTTACAGTACTAAAGTCAGGTTCACTTTTTAATGACGAACCAGAGTAAGTGGATACCTTCTGCAGAGCACAGAGCTTTAAGCAGTTAAGAAGAGAGAGAAGGCTTGGATTTTCTCACTGCATGTTACAGCTTTTTTAGGGATTTTTATGGAACATTGGTTGGAGAGCAGAGCAATCTCTTTTTCAGAATTTTTTTTTTTTTCTTTATTGCTTCAGAGAAGCTTCCTAGTAAAAGGAGTTTTTTCAGGTTTTTTTAAAGCAAGATTTTCGTAAGAGGAAACCGATTAATTTTTCAGGTTATTGGATTGTATTTTCAGGCTGTGATACAAGGACAAGCATTTGTGATGCATAATTTACAAAGTAAGTGATTTTGAATTTCTGTGTGTGTTTTCTTCATCACCTGGTGGAAGTATTTTGCTATAACTGATTACTGAGTAGAGCTTTCATGGTCTTAAGATAGGTGAATGAAAGTCAAGTACCTCAGTACCCCTCCAGGTTATACAGGGAATGGAGAATCGCCTAACCGCCTCCTGTCTTTTCTTGCCTGCAAGCTGGGCTAGTCTGAGCTGAGCACTAACCTGATTATACAAGTGTGGGTAGTCCAGAATTTGGCCACCAGTGAAACCCTGGAGAAGTAATTTTTCCTGAAAGCCTTTATTCAACAGAACAAAAATTCTTACTGATCCCACATGAGACCTAAATGCAGCAATGTAGTCTTTGTAGGAAGTCTTTAGAACCTAATTTAAATAATTACCTTGGCAACTCAACTATTTGTGTAGCAGGTGGGCTAAACCTCCAAGTTTAGTGTTTGGACTTGTGTCTGGGATGATTTTAAGTATCCTATTTCATTTTGGAAATGGAAGGAATCTTTGGAGCATGTTTACCTAAACAGGGAGGGGAGAGTCTACTTCAGAATGAATTTAAGCTTGTTAACATATAAAGCAAACTAGCATGCTTTTTTTTTTCCTTTTGTAGCTGTTGGTACTCCAGAGATGTTCTTGTATGTTAATGCTTGTCTAAAAGGGGTAAGCTGCTGAGGGGCCCAGAGTGAGGGTAGATATGTGTGAAATAGTTGGGAAGGATGTAAATTGTGTTAATATTTTTTAATGAGTATTTATGAGATAGAGCACATTAAAGCTGCACCACGATTTCTTATGATGTAGTCCCGGATAGTTGCTACAGCTACTCTTTGCTGTGGTTATTTTTGGTATCTGGTTTTCTGCCCCCATAGATTATAGCAAGTATAAAGGATTCACATTGCTTTACATAGCATTCTGGTCTGGAATTAATAGTCTATTGTGTGTGTGTTTCTTCCAAGAGGTCTGAGAGAGTTACAGTCAGCTATGGGGCAGGGGGGGAGGGGGGGTGGGAATTAAGAAGGAATATTTCTAAATGGTGGGGGGGTACTGATGACGTAAAATCAAGTGAGGAGGGAGACACTGACAAAGGGACTCTTACTTTTAAAAACAATTAACTTGATAAATATCTCAATGAGAACAGGGTAGAGAAACAGTGTGAAAAGGCAGACTAAATCTTGTTTTATCCTGACAGACTGGCTTTTTATGTTCAGCAAAATCACTTTTCAAGATCTTGCTCAGTTTTTACTTTATTCCATGGTTTAGGCTATTCTGCTGAATGTAAAAGTACAATATTTGGTTTTTAGAGTTCAAAATTATTTAATCTAGATCAAGTGGAATTGTATTTTGTAAGGGGGGGAAGACATCTCTGCAGTAAGCACATTTTATATAATAATTTCAAGAATATCAGACCTGTGTGTCCATTGAAATAATAGAAATCTGTACAGTTTAAAAACATAATCTGTATTTCATTATGTGGAGATACCTATGTCTGTGTGTGTACATATGTGTAAAATGGGTGTGCAATGGATACACACACAGAGTCATGCTTTTTTCCCTTCCACATCTTTAATCTGTTCAGTAGGTCCAGAAACCCTATAAAGCTTTTTGAATGGTAAACTTCAGGCATCCGAGCAGTATGCAACTGAGATGTGACTGACCGACTTCTAAAGGGAACTGCCCTGTGTGTGACTGTGCGTGTGTTGTGTGCGCGTGTGTGTAAGAGCTACGTGCTGCAGCATATCAGCCTTTTGTCATCCTGCCAGGATTGGACTGTACCATGCTGCAAAGTCAGGAAAATGAGCTGGGAATGCGGGCGAGGAGAGCCCACTCGCTCCTTTTGTTTGTAATACCAGGTTTATATTGCGGTTCTGTTAAACATAGATTCTTTCCGAAACTGAAATTGTTTTAAGATTAATGTAGAACAAAATGATGAAACAGGAGTGGTCTGGTGACATTATTTTGACATGATTGGCTGAGGATTATGATGTAATAGGTTACAGTGCAGCCCCTTATAGGTTTTAAAATGAATTCCAAGACACCATTACAAAGAGAGCCTGACTCTTTTCTTGTATCTGAGCTTACTCAGTGAAACTCATACAAATGTACAATACTGTTTGGAATATGGAAGAACTGGATATAGAATATCCTAAGACAGATATAAATTGTGGCACAGACTTGATGTTTTACATAGAAATGGATCCACCAGGTAAAACTGCAGTCTTATTATGGAAGACTTAATTCATTTTGGTCTTTACAATAGCTGCTGAAAAATTCGTAGTGGATGTAGGCTTTCTTTACTTTGTCATTGATACAAATAGTTTTTCTTTTTCCTTTTTTTCATAAATTAGAAGTAAATTGTGGTTTAGTGCATGGCTATACTAATTAGAATCATAACCTGTAGAAATACCTGTCTGCTTACTTAATTGAATTTTTACTGTTTTGACCTGTTTCTGTTTTTATTATCAGATGTAATTCTAGTTCTGCTATTGTATCATAAAAATTTTGTATTTCTTTTATTATTATTTTTGCTATTTCTAGTCCACACTGACTAAAAGGAGATGCTGTAATAGCACTTTTATTTCCTGAAACAGTGATTACAAATCACTGTTTGGATTGTTTGAGGAAAAACAGATTTTAAAATCTATCAATATTAATTGAATACCTGATATTGCATTATTTTTTCACATCATATAAAATTATTATGCTATCTTGATATTCACTGTAACTTTAAAACCATCATCTTTTGTAGTCAGTCATAATATACAGGACAGGGACAATTGTAAGGAATGATGCACTTACTGGAGAACTAAAAGTGCTGGGTTGGTTTTTAATCCTGATTCCATTGTAGTTCCCCTTGCTACTAAGTCAGGAGTGCTGCAGTATCTTCTCTGGCACCCACTGCTATACGTATGCAGCTTTGACATTGAGAAAAGGGGGATGTGGTTTTAATCAGTCCTGGCATTTGGAACACGGTTTGTTCTGTAGAATACTAAGATTAACGCAAGGGATATTTGGGTCACAGATGGGTTTCTTAAAGTGTTTTTTTGGCAGATCATCTCACAGAATGCTGAGGATCACAAAAACCCAATTCTTCTTAAAATATACAGTATTGCTTTGGGTTTGCATCTTTTATTATTCAGCTTCTACGTGAGGAAGCAGTAACATTCCTCTAAGATCATTATGTAGGAGGGGGGAAAAAAAAGGCATTTTACATGTTTTATTATTTATATTCACTTGAAGAGAGTGGAAGAGGTAAAAGCAAACTTCAGAAATCTTTTCTTTCACAGATGCTTTCCTCACAGGGAGAGATGAGTATGGTTGTTATATTTTGCCTAAAATATATTATTGCAACAGTAACATACTTTTTTGAAACAGTACATCTTTCTTATTGAATTATATTGTTTTCAGTAAAATATCCTGATTCCTCTAATGTCTTTTAAAGACAGTTAGTAATGGAAATCTCTATTTTGTAACTATTCTTTTTTTGTTTCCTCATTCATGTAATAGTGTGCCATTTCAGGGAATATATGCTCAGATTTTGAGAGAGTTAAAATCAACTTTTTTTTCCCCTTTCATCTGCAGCACTGCCTCCTAAGCCACCAAAACCTAATACTGTAACTAACAACGGCATGAATAACAACATGTCACTACAAGATGCTGAATGGTACTGGGGAGATATCTCAAGGTAAATCAGCTCAAGACATGTATTTCTTGTGCTTGGCTTTGTTCTTGCTGTGCTATTCTGTGTGTATGTACTATGCTTAAGTATAGAAAAATCACAGTTATAGGAGCCATTTTTGGGATATTTTCCAATGCAAACATATTATGGTTGGTTTCATTCTAAATATGACTAAAAAGTTACTGGCAGTCAGTTAGAATGTAGTATGTGAAATGATTGTTATTACTTTGACAGCTATATGAAATGCTAGCATGAAAGGACAACACAAATAAATGTTTTCTTCCTGCCTTTCATTCAGACCCTCAACTGTAGGCACAATAGTTAACAAGCCAGACTAACAAGTGCCATATATTAGCAACATTTCTAACTGTGCTATATATAGGTACCTTAGACCAGCACTGGCTGCTCCAATTGTGCAGGCTTGTATGAACAAGCAGAAAGACCTATGCATTAATATAATTTTGTCCAGCAGTGAGAGGACATAGGATATACCATTTTTATATCCCAGTTGTTCTTCAGCAATGTTAAATAAGCTCTTAAATAACTGTATTTATTAATATGGAGATCAAGAAGGCATATAAAAACCACTTATTTTAAAGCAGAAGAATTTAGACCACAGTGAGAGGATAAATGAGTGAGAAGTAGCCGAAATGATTGGTTACTTTTGCTTTCATTTTAGAGAAGAAGTAAATGAGAAGCTTCGAGACACTGCTGATGGTACCTTTTTGGTACGAGATGCTTCAACCAAAATGCATGGGGACTACACACTGACGCTAAGGTAAGATTAGTTACACTAGGTCTGTAAAACTTCACAGTAAAATGCAATATTACATTTAAAATACAGTGGTCATTAGGAAATGATACTTGAAGTATGCCTAACTTTTCAACAAACTTTATTTGCAGGAAAGGAGGAAATAACAAATTGATAAAAATATTTCATCGAGATGGAAAATATGGCTTTTCTGACCCATTAACTTTCAACTCTGTGGTCGAGCTAATAAACCACTACCGGAATGAATCTCTAGCCCAGTATAATCCTAAACTGGATGTAAAATTACTTTATCCAGTGTCAAAGTACCAGCAGGTAATTTGGTCTATTTTCTTTGTGTTTCAATTAAATACAGAGAAATTACTGCAGACCGGGGAGTCATTTATCATGAAGAATGTCAGCTCTGTTAATATTTGAAAAAATAAAGTGGGTATAAAAAAGCATATTTTTGTTTAAAACCAACTCCACAGTTTGCCTATAAATAATTAAAACTTTAAATACTGCAGATATATTATTAAGAAACAAACTTCTGTTAATAAATATTCCACTCATTAATGATGAAATATATAATTTTCAGTACAAAGCTGAACACTAGCAATGCCAAATTGCTTTTTGTCATGAATTTCTCATTTGCATATTATGCATATAGTCTATTATATCTCCATATTGATGAAAGAGCAGTCACATTTACCATGTAACTATCTAGGCATTTTTAAGCAGTTTTATCCTGAAAATCTGTGAAATGTAATTGTTTCTTTACGGAATATCTTTCCTTCTGCTCATCATTCCAGGATCAAGTTGTGAAAGAGGATAGCATTGAAGCAGTGGGAAAGAAATTACATGAATATAATACCCAGTTCCAAGAAAAAAGCCGAGAATATGACAGACTCTATGAAGACTATACAAGAACATCTCAGGTGAGCTAGATTTGAAACCAAAGGGAGAATGGAAGACTTCAGCAGATTTAGAAGAAAATTATTGTAAATTGATACTGCCATACTCCTCCATCCCCTTCCACCACCACTACCATTGCCCAAAAGAGGAAACATATCTGATGTGCTTCCTCGGTATAGTAGAATCGCTTACTCATGTTTGAACAGTCACCACCTGTAACCTAAGCCACTCTGGGCCCAAGTCTGACACCTGCATCCAAAGCAAGCACAGAACTATCTTGATTTACCAACACTTCTGCGTACTGACCTCATCAAGCTGAGTTATGGTTTTCAAGACACATTTGCAGGGAAGCATTATATTTTATTACTAGTGTTTGAAGGGTCTAGTTTCATCTGTACAGAGTAGAGAGATGACTTGTGAAGATACTGAAAAGCTGCCTCTATCCTTCTTTAAACTTAATTGATTACTAGCCAAGTCTTGAAGTGCCAGTGACTTAGTGTTGTTTTACACACCCAGATTCAAGGCTACTTAAAATGTGCAGGAAATACACCTAAAAATAATTGAAGACAGGTGCAGGCAACTTGAACTAATGACTTAAAAGACGTATATATTGACTAACTATGCAGGGACAGGAGATGGACTAGATGACTTGTTGAGACCTGTCCAGTTTTATTTCAGAAAGCCATATTTGCCTTTAAGGTCATTAGTTGGTATGAAGTGCAACTAGCGCATTACCATAAGGCTCTAATCATCACCAAAAAAACTTATTTATACAAAACAAAGATTGTAGCTAGCTCTTTGTCTAGCAGGTTTTTTTTCCCTGGAAAACCTTATCATGTAACATGTCATCATGGTAGCCTTTTGCACAGGCCTCTTCTCTCTGTGTTATAAGGCTCTGCAGACAGAATGCATTCTGGAACAGGGATATTGGAGTCTTCTGTTACAATATACTGAAGTGTTTCTGTGATACAAGCCAATAAATCATCCCCTCTGTCTGATAACAACTGTAATAACAATTATTTTCTTTCAGGAAATTCAAATGAAGAGAACAGCTATTGAAGCATTTAATGAAACAATAAAAATATTTGAAGAGCAGTGCCAGACACAAGAAAGATACAGTAAGGAATACATTGAAAAATTTAAACGAGAAGGGAATGAAAAAGAAATACAAAGGTCAGTATTTGTATTTGCCTTTCAAAGTGTGTGATTTTTAAGAAAGAAACAATGCCAAGTGTAGATCTGACGAAAACTGAAGCAATATGGCAAGTTTAAAGTTGTTCAGTTGTAAGCGAAGCAAGCCTTACATGGGGTAGATGTGAACTCGCAACATGTATAGCTACATCTAGAGAAATAATCTGTTCTCTTACGTGTCTACACTGCTAAGTAGCAGATTATAAAGTTGTGAATAAGACATCATCAGAGTGTAACCTACCACGTTATTCCATTCAGAATTATGCACAACTATGAAAAACTGAAATCTCGAATAAGTGAAATTGTGGACAGCAGGCGTAGATTAGAAGAGGATTTAAAGAAGCAAGCAGCTGAATATAGAGAGATAGACAAGCGTATGAACAGCATTAAGCCAGACCTCATACAGCTGAGGAAGACAAGAGATCAATACTTGATGTGAGTATGAGTATAAATTAAAAAAATTTTTTTAATTTTTTTTATTGGTATCCAACTTCTGTGACTAACAATTTTATTTGCAATTATTGTCCAGGTGGCTGACTCAAAAAGGTGTTCGGCAAAAGAAGCTAAATGAATGGCTCGGAAATGAAAATACAGAAGAGTGAGTATTAAAAGATTTAAATCTTTCTGGTATTTCAAATCATCTTATGCAAAAGTGAGAAAAAATATTTAATTCCTGGACCACACAGAAGAAGTCTCAAGCCTAGGTCTCCAATAATAATGCACACATGGCATTAACACATGACAGCCTACATCATGCAAGTATTAGAAAGGACTCTGTCTCACACCCTACTCTCCATTATTCAGAGAACTGAATAATGAAATTGCTATAGCAAAGTACTAGAATTTAACCTGTGTCTTTGTACTTACCAGCAAAACATAGATCTTACAGAGATGCCGTATGGATAGATAAATTGTTCAGAAGGTCTCTCAGGCATGAGCAGGCTTTTTTCCAAATTTCAAACGTTGGTACTATGGTGCTATCTAGTATAGTGGTACCCATATCAGTATATCACATTGCTATTGCAGATGATAAAATTGTATATGCTGAAGAGTAGTCCTTCTCTGGTTTTGTGGTCTGGTTAATTTTTCTGGGAAATGGCAGGATTGCATTCTGTTATTTCAGCAATTCAGTTTACTATAGGTTCTGACAGAGGCTTGGCTTATGAATACGTTTCACTTGATTCCTGGGAAAAAAGCAAAAAGCACCTGGGTGGAGTGAATGTAGACCAAATTGAAACACAAGCAAGCCACAAAATAATATCAAAAGTGTAGTAACAGTGAAGAATGAACAAATAGAAAAACAAAGTTGTCTGAGTAATATTTGTATCAACATTTTCTGCCTATGTAGTTTCCTGTGTATGCCTTTTACACTGCCTGGCTGAATATATAGCAAAAGCACCAAACTGACAATAAATCTTTTGTGGATTTACATTCTAGCCTTGTCCACATCTATTTTAATTTGGCTTGGCTTATTGAGTCTCCTACTGTTATCCTGGAAATTTTGGATCTCTGCTGTGGCTGCGCTGGTAGAAGCAGGAGATAAAAATGGCATACACGTTTTAAAGCCATGTTGTTCACTCAGTGTTAGCACAGCTCAAAGATGATATGATGGAGGATATGTAGGCACCTGTTTTCAGTTGTACTCCCATCACTTAAGCGGTAGACAAAGAACAGTGCCAGGCCATAGTTTTAATGTAGCATCAAAACGGCAAGTGAAACTGTTTAAAGAAAATCTTCCTTTTCTCTCACTCTGTGACTCTCCTTGCCAGTGAGTCTGGTAGGTGCTCAGGTTTCTACTGAGCACTGAATTAAACTTTCAGAATATGACTTTAGGAAGAAAGTTGTAATGCGGAAAAAAATCAATATAATGAGCAGCAGGAAAACCAGGGATCGCTTTCTCTAGGTGTTGGTTGAAAATAGAGCTACTGCTTAATGCATTTGAATATCATGCAGGACTAGGACTACCATGGGATAAGGGACCTAGAGACAGTGTCATCTGAAACAAAAGAGCCCTTCTTCCTTCTGAAAAATTGAATTCTGTGAGAGATTGCTGATTTCTGTAGACCAGCGTGAGAATCTTCAGAAAGACACAACTGTGGATGAGTGAGAAGTCAAGTTTTCTTAGACCAAGGAAAACTGATTAAAAACCTATTACAGAGAGAATAAATACATTAGCCAAACACAGACTGATTGCAAGCTGAGCAGGAGAAGCAGGGCCCACCAGTGCAGGCTGTTGGGGGAGCGTGGAGCTCTGGTACTGCAGAATATCAAAGTGGTGTCCATACAGCTGAACCAGAGACATCTTCTTTCATGGGGGGCTTTAGCTTAGATGGTTCTCTGTAAGTGTGAATCAGCTTTATAGTTGGTGGCTGGTTTGGTAGAGAAGACCCTATATTATATGCTTTTCTCATAATCTGGTTACAAGAAGAGCGAGCACTCTACTATTCCACCCTTTCCACAAAGCCATCTCCCTTATAAATAATTAATCTGCCTACCTGTACAACTGCTTATAGCTTTCCCAAGCAGCAGCCGTAGTTGATACATTGCATGATTTTTCACTGCTGACCAAGTGTTCTCATCTTTGGAAATGAAGCTGACTCAGGGTATTGATTTCATTGGGCTTGCTATTTACCAAAACAGTGAGCAACGGTAGAAGTACTGAAGTGCTCGCAGCAGATTCTGAAAGATAAGACAGCATCCTTTTATATCTGTCTTCAGATTTACATGAGTGTTTTATAAAGAAACAAGAACCAGAACTTATATTTTATTTTTATTCAGTGGTTTAAACGGTGCAGTATTGCATGGTGTACATCCCTAGTTTTACCAGGGAGGTATCCTACTAACCACTGACTTTTTTTTTTTTTCTCAAATAGTATGAAATGGGGACTACTTAATTAGTGGATTTTGCTCTGCCATGTGTTTCACAAACACATTTTGTCCTATTTCAACAGCCAATACTCTATGGTAGAAGATGATGAGGACTTGCCCCATCATGATGAGAGAACATGGAATGTGGGCAATATCAATAGAAGCCAAGCTGAAAATCTGCTGCGGGGAAAGCGAGATGGAACATTCCTTGTTCGAGAGAGCAGCAAACAAGGCTGCTACGCCTGCTCTGTGGTGTACGTACCCTAAATTGTGAATGATGTAACCAACATTTGAGGCACCTACCTTGAGCCAGAGGCAAATAAACACTTGCATATGCATGGATCCCATTGGTCTTAAAAGCAAACCAAGTAGTCCTGAGGCCATCCTTACTGCTGCTCCATCCCCTACACAGCTCAAGCCTGTGCCACTCCGCAGATGAGCCTCACACAGTAGAAGGGAAACCAAAGCATGGATGCACTTCTTTATGTGCAGCTGCTAAGTCCTGCCTCTCTCCTGCTTCCCTAAGCTAACACAGCATCTGGGAATCTGGGTTAAACTGAGGCTTTTTGCCATTATCCCACCACAGAAGACAGTGGTTCTATGTAGTGGCTAGCATCTTAAGATTTATTGCCAATACCTTATTTTCTAGCTTAACTTTTCTGAACTGACAAACTAAAAACTGGTTGTTTTTTTTCCTCTTTAGGGTGGATGGAGAAGTAAAGCACTGTGTGATAAACAAAACACCTACCGGGTACGGATTTGCAGAGCCATATAACTTGTACAACTCGCTCAAAGAACTGGTGCTACATTATCAACACACATCACTCGTGCAGCACAATGACTCTCTCAATGTCACACTAGCCTACCCAGTATACGCACAGCAGAGGCGATGAAGATCTTAATACTCTGGGTTATTTGTTTTTTTTCTAAAGAAAAGATATGACAACATTGAGGCCTCTGGAGAGAAAAGGCTGCTTTCAGTCTTACTCAAGAATTTGAGCTGCAGTATCAAAGCTATCTGTCTTCAGATGGGACTAGAGCTTTTCTTCACAACTGCGGTGGGAGAGATCACAGTATTTAGCTGTGAACATATGTGTCTAATCTGAAATGCTTTCTTTTTTTTCTAATTAAGAAAAACATGAGAGGGAGAAATCCTAACCTGATCTCCGTGCAGGGACATAGAGGCCTTTAACCATGGTGCTTGTTTACGACCACTTCTGAAGCTTTACCAGCTAGAACATTGGGTTCTCCAGACACAAGGTGTAAGAGGTCTTTGTCATTCAGTTACTGGAATTTCGTGGTCACGACCTGGCTTGGATTTGGTGTTGCTGCACTCAGTGGATCCAGACACACAGCATTGTGGATATTTTGGTTTCTGGTGAATGATATGTAGCAGAATGGCACTTTCATTTCTAAGGGACACTTTAAAAGGACTTCAGTTACAGTATGTTGTTCAGAGTCATTGTTATAGCAAAGTGCCAGGAAGTGTTTTGTTTAGACATTTAAAAATCCTGTTTTAAGAATATATTTAAGACTGAAGAAAACAGGATTTTTAATGTCATACAGTATATAATAATGTACATAGCATTGGATGACTAACTATCATTGATGGAAACTATCAATACCAAACTGCTTCTCTTTTCCCCTTTCTGTTTGCTGAAAGCTGAATTCTTAGACTGTGCTATGCAATACTGAATTTTCTTTAGGCTGTAGTCTTCTCTCAAGCATATCTACAGGTTAAGCTTGTTTTTCTTTCTTGTTTCCTTGTCTTCTTTTTTCTTTCTTTCTTTTGCCTGTGAATATTTTTCCTGATGATTATTTTTTATCATTCATTTTGTTGGTTGGTTGGTTTTTTTTAAATGTACAGGAAGCCAGCAAGAGTTGGCTTCAGAACTAAAACTATGAAATATTTCACAATTTTCTTTGTATAGAATATTGAGCTTCTAGCTCAAAGTTCAAAATGTTCATAAATTTTTTTGCCTAATTATTTTGTTGGGCAGTGCCTGATAAGCTTCAAAGCTGCTTTATTCAATAAAAAATATAAGAACATTACAAAATATCACTGAGTCCAACAATATTGTTTCAGAGAGATCTTCAGAATACGGTACCATGGTATGTTTGCTTCTTGAAGCATTTTGAACTTATATCATGTTTGTCTTTGTATTTGGAAGACAAAAAATCTTGTATCCTTCTCTGATAGTGGTTACAGAAAAAACAGAAAATTTGTCTACTGGGGTGGATAGTTTGGATTTCAGAATGAATCCACTCTTCACAGTAAATAAATGACTTCTTGATCTACTGTGGCAGAATTTTTGTCAGCATTTAAAGATATTTTCATTTCATATGAAGGAAGTTTCTCTAATCTGTTGCTTAGGTTTGTTTTTTGTATTGTGAAAAAAAAAAAGCTCCCACCTTTACTGAGAACATTTGGATACAATGTAGAGCTAATTAAGACTGGAAAATAATCTGTTTTGAAACTGATTAGGCTATCATATTTGGATTTATTTTTGTAAGATTGTAGGCTGAGGCAGTATCAAAGTGAACACTTCTGTAATTTCAGGCACCAGAGACTTACAAAATTATGGTTTAGTTAAAGGCAACAAATACATGAACCCACTAGAGCAAACTTATTAGGCATTCCAGGACAATTCACTGTGGGTGGTTTGCAATGGTTAATTATTGTCCTGACCACTGAAGAAATTCACACATTGCAAATTGATAAAGTAATGAAGTTCAGAGAAATCTTGGAAAAGTTTTGCCTAAGTGAACATATGAATTTATTCTTCCCCCAAGATGCAAAGGCAAGACCCATTACTATTAAAGGGAGTTTGCACACACAATCAAAAGAGTAAGACGCATGGAGTTCTCTTCTAAGAACTCTGTTTTAGAAATATATGCGTTTTAATTGAAAGTATGCAGTGCTTATTAAGCTACTGGAAATAGTAAGAAGAAATTAACCAGTCTCCAGTAGCTTTTATATTATCTTCTAATTTTTACATTATTCCTTCATTCCTGAGGCTGTAAGGCTTTTGATTTTATTGTGACTTTGTGCTCTTTTTTTTTGGTGGAGTGTCTTTGTTTTCCTGTAGATGTATTTTCTTACTAGAATTTATATCAGGAAACAAGATCAACCAACATTAATGTTTCAGGATAGTCACCATTTACAAAATTATAGAATAGAATTTTAGTCTTCTTCCCTTCCTTATTCCACACTCTTTTCAGGCCTGTAGGACCATGTAAATTTGGTTAACTGATAACTGGTTTTTACTATGAAAAGCACCAACAGTTACTCTAGCACGCCAGTTGTACTACCAGGCTTGAAGTTAGAAATTAGTTCAATATACAACAATTTAACACTTGTAGCAATCCAAGATATTCTTTGGACATATATTAATTTTTGAATGTTAAGTATTTTAAGAGTAAAATTGTATTTTTTTCTCTATAAGCAAAATATATGTAATCTGAATTGATGTTTCACGTAGCATTTGTCAAGAAATTTTATCACAGTTAAGGCATTTGGATCTAATTTTCCTCATATTAAGAAAACCTCTGCTATGTCAATGGGCCATATCCTTATCATGCCCAGCCCAGTAGGGGATATAGTTTTTTCCTGTCATGCTGTACAACTTTTCTTCATGTGTGGTTGTAGCAGAGAAAAATTGTGTGTGTGCAGATTTGCCACTTGCTTTTCTTGCACAAGCAGCAATGAGAAATAAGCACTGTGTTGTGAGGAAGAGTGCTTAGGCCTTCCTAAGGGGAAGTTCTGCCTACAGAGGGTCTGTGCAATTTGCAAGGATCACTTACGGCCTCAGATTGGCATGAGTGGGTTTTCTTTGGTACTTCGTATTGTGTGGCCTCTGCATTTCCCTCCTTAATGCACAGAGCTACATCCTGCCGAAGGCCCTATTAACTGCAGAGTTGTTTGTCCTTAATGTACCATATTGTTCACTCCAGTTTTGATTTGATCTCAAGCAGACTAGTATATACAGAAAAAAAAGCACATGGAGATAACTGAAGTAATACGGTGCTTTTCTGTATTTCTGTTGACATGTAGTTTTTCCATCTAATATGATTCAAGGGTGGGATTTGATTTGTTATTAATTTTTGTTGTTGTTGTTGTTGTTGTTTGGGGATTTTTTTGTTTTATTTTAAATCTTTGAGTTACGCTGCACTGCAGCAGCACTTTCAGAAGGCCTTTTAAAGGTATGAGACGTAATGCAGAGAACCAAAACTCAAAACTAGAGGAGATTCTGATTTCCTTAAGTTAAAATTTGAACTTACAGGTTTGGGGATGCTTATCTGTGCATATGTGTGCACACTTGCTATGTTTATGCATATGTTGTATAAATAGATCCTAGTATAGCTGCATTTTCACCAAGCATCATTTTGCTGAATTCAGTAAGTGATATCATTAACTTTCTTTAAAGGCACACACGTGCACACTAGACCTTTGTGGGTGCAGCATGTTTCCAAATACAGTTAGAAAACTGAGTTTCTGTGTTGTTGGATATTTTCCTTCTTTAAAAAAAGCTTGTCTGTATGGTTCAGTTATCTAAGAAATCTTGTCAAGCAATCTGTAAAACCAAATCTTCAGATTTTCTATTGGTGTCAACTGTTTTGTAGTGAAAAAAAATGGCTTTGTCTTGTAATTGGCAATGAAATAATAATGCTTGGGAAAATATTCAGATGCTTCTAATGGGGAAAACTTGTGCCGATTTTCACACAGTGCTTTTGCTATGCATGTATTAAGTTGGGAAAGTGAATCCTGATCTTTTCTTTTCAGGGTCACTTTAGAAATGGGCAGCTTGAACCACAATGCCTCCCATGGGACAAGGTTCCAAAATGCATTTTATGTAGAATCATGTTGTATTTACTGCAGTTGAAGACTGAACTAGACTGTGGAAGTTGGTAATGTTACATTGCACTTGTCCTAATGAGACTGCATTAGCTGCCCAAGATGCTGCTATTTTTTTTTTATTCTTGTTTTTTAAAATAAAATTCTGTTCTGTTAAATGTCTTTAAAACATTAAGATTACTTTGTTTTAACATGGTCTTTGAGGAGGTGGAGGGTAAAGTGGGTTGTAAATTGCCTTTACAAGGCAATAATGAAAACATGCCTCCTTGAAACTTTGTTAAAGCTGTAGAGTTGATGGAGCTGTGTCTTGTTTTTAAGTTGCTTTTAAAATTGTAATAAGTCTTTAAGCAGAATAAAGGTTGTTTTGAAACTGCATTTCACTTGTTGAGGCTTCAGTAGGGACTGAGATACCTGTCTACCTTGACTCTTCCTGTGTGTATGTAGCCTACTTTAAAAATGAGACCCAAATGTGCATGTTATTAGAGGGAACTAGGGAGCAAATAATTTCAGCTGGCTCACAGCCATCTTATGTATTGAACTGAATGAAGTAGTTCAGTAGTTCCGAAATAGTTTTGTGTCAAACAGTGACAAAATGACAGTTCTGTTCATCTCATTCTTGCAAAAGCAGTACAATATTCATGATCTGTGATCTGCCTTTTACATTGCAGATGAAGTTCTGGTTCTTCTGAAATCAGTGTGAGGTTTGTCACTGATATCCATGAAGCCAGCATGTCAGCCTTTGTAGCTAGAAGTCGTTCACCAGCTTCATGGCTGCACTTAATTGTGAAAACCCAACATGAGAATGAAAAGAGAGGAAGGAAGGGGGGGATTGGGCAAGACTGATTCTGAGCTGTGTTTTCTTCCCCACATTATTGGTATGTGGTATCTGACATTTTCAGGCCCATCCATATTTTGCCTGAGAAAAGGTCCTCCAGGGAAGACAGGCAGTCTGGAAGCAGAAAGAGATTCCTATTCCCATTCTGTGCAAGGTCCATTCCAAAAATCTGCGCATATTTTGCTCGCAGTCGCCACATAATACTCGGTTAGCATAGGCTTGAAATAATTATTAATAATCACATTGTCACTTGCCCTTAGAGGTTCTTACAAGAAATGCAGATTAAAGGCTATTGTCATATTTTTAGCCCACTTAATAGAAAGTGGGGGTAGATCTCCAATGAATGTATCTGTTGCAGTTTTTCTCAGTAAGCTGATTCTTTTAAATAGATGCCGAGTTTCCTGCTCCCTGAACCAATGTTGAGCAACACAAACTCTTCTGCAGCCGTTCAACACTTAAAATTAAGGTTAGCTAGGTCATGAATCACACATTGTCCATCATCAGCTATTGAGAGAAATTATGACTGGCTGATCATAAACTGCAGAAATCTATGGACCAGCAGATTTCTTGCATGTATTATACATTGTATAGAAATCACTCTTGGCAGACTGGAAAAACAGTTTGCAAAAAGTCATTCCATTTTTGCTATC